CTTACCTCCTTCACACATCAGCAGGTCTCTCGCGTGCATGGATGCTAGTGCAACCCATCATACTCAAAACTGAGACCTGCCCAGCCTCAACTTTCACATCAGAGTCTACATGCATCCTTTTCATACTGTCAGGCAACGATGCCTGAGGGCCATCCTTGGGGAAGAGATATGTTGTTCTCTCTTATTAACTAAATGCATTGACATGATGAACTTTCTTGTATGTTGTTTTGAGTATAAATTTCTCATCTATTACTCTCTAGTTTTGTCAAAGTAATTCAGGGTACACTTACAATAACCAGAAATTCAATTTTCATCTGCTTTTATGTTACATATTACTTCTAAAATTTTATATAAGACTGATAATTATCCTTTTATTTTTATGACTATAATATTATTACATCATTTCTCCCTTCCCTTTCCTCCCTCCGTACACTCCCATTTACCTTTCCTTTCTCTTTCAAATTGATGTCCTCTGTTTTCATTAATTGATGGTACGTACACGCATGGTGTGCGTACATATACATTTCTAAATACAACTTGCTCAGTTTGTATAATGTCATTTGAATGTATGTTTTCAGGCTGATCATTTGGTATTGAACAACCAATTTATGTGCTCTTCCCCGAGGAAAACTATTTTTCCTATTCTCAGCATTCTTTGATAGTCTATAGTTTTCTCTGTGTAGTGCTGAGTTTCCTGGTCTTTCCCTTGTCCCCTTTGGCATGTCTATTTTTGTTGTCCGTGTTTTGTTCATGTATAGCCAGCCATATTGGTGAGACAGTGTAGCTTCTGATATTTTTGACACTGAATCTTCTGGAAGCTACCCTTCTCCTTAGTTTCTTATCCGTATAGACTCAAATGTCAAAAAGTTCAATGAAAGAATAGTAAATTTGTCTAAGATGCACCTACTCTTACAGTTTACAAATTCATTTATTCTGTTGATTTCTCTGGGCACTGTGAATTATAACCACGTGGCATCTCATTTTCGTAAAAATAATATTCCTGGCCCTCTTAAACACATATTTAAAATATTCATCCATAAGTCCTAATAGGGAAAGAATCCTACAAATCACAGGCTTTTATTTTCATTTCATTAATGAGGAAAGCAAAGGCCCAAAAGCCTTCTATTTCTCAGCTTACCATCCACTGATTGCATTATCAAAGAGCCTCAGTAATGCTTGCAGAGATCTGAGCATTGGTGTTTTCCATACTATGAATAATTTGTAACCACACTATTGTGCAAAAGCTTCATTGACAGCCACAAAATACTACAATGACAAATGAGTCTTTGCACACATGTATGTTCAAAAATTATTCCTTGATTGAGCATAAACAGTCAATTGAAATCCCTGTCATTGCAGGTCTGATTAACATATATTAATTGGATTTCAGTTAATTGATTTAGTAAGCCAATAATCATGTTCAGGAGTCAACCTGTCTCTGAATGCTTGCAACACTGGATTTTCTTTTAATTGGTAGAATAAATAAATCATATAAGTAAATATGTATGTGATTTTTTATTATGTATATGTAGAATCAGTAACAAAATCAAATTGACCTTACAGAAATATCCTGTTAATTGTTATATTGTTATGTATAATCCTAAAGGCTGTCCAAAGGCAGGATTCATCTTTTTCTCCCCTGACATGAATCCCATATTATTCTGAACCATATGCTTTACATCTAATTTTTGGCTGACAAGTACACATTTTTCTATCACCCTTGTGTTCACTCTGCCTGCAAGGCATCCTCTCTACCTTCTATCACATCTCTCGGAATGATAAAGGATGTTACTCACCCTCCCTCACACAGCCACAATATAGTCTATCCTATGATCCTTATACAAACCAAAAGAGAGGTTTGATGTCAAAACATAAAAATGTTTTCCCAATAAGACATAACTGCTTTGTGGGGTTAAACGTAATGTTATTTTAGAAATTAGATAAAATTTATGAGGAATCTAAAGCACAACCATTATGACAATGTAATTATATGTAGCTATCAATGGTTTAGATGCATTTTTCTCTTAAGTAAGTACCTATGTACTAGGTTTCCTATGCCAAACTTTTCTCAATCAAGAAATAATGACCACATGTGGCAGAAATTTAAATACTTTGTCAAGTGTTGTACTATATCCTAACAAAAATTACAGCATGCTGCACTCAAAACCCACTGTTCCTTAATCATAGAAAATATAGTAGATGCTCATTATGTTCATTTCTCCAGGTCCCTAATACTTCCCAAACTAATGCTTCTCTTTACAGCTGTGCCACATCCTGCTGTTGACCTCCCTGCTCCTTAAATTTTAGTTCCTTGTGGTCTCTCTACCACTTTCCTCCCACCTCTCCATTCACTCTCTGTCATTTTTTTTGGAGGGGGAGTTCTGCTTTAATTTCTGTCCTCTTTTCTTGATGCTGTGTTCTGTCCCCTGTCAGAAGTGTTGAGTTCTCGTGCTTCAGCCTCTGCTGAGACAACCAAACCCACTAAGTGTTTCACAGGGCAGGAGATGGTCACCCCATTAAACATTTGACCTTTTTTACGTCTATTTATTTTGTCATATCAGAGAAAGGTAGTTCTAGAATATAGCGAGTAGAGATAAGTAATGACAATAAGCAAACTGCTATGTAAAGAACAGCCTCACAAAGAAATGACAAAGTCTCCAAATTTAATAGTGCTGTGGATTCTAAACTTTGGACAATAGCCTAAACATACCGGTCGATTCCATTTGAGCATCCTATACAAACACTGAACTCAATATGTAGCAAGGGAGAGTTGTCCGCTTCCCCACTTCGCTGCCCCACTCGATACTTTGGATTTTGATATAATGCAGTAGCACCAAATATAGCAAAGGTCTCACCTGATAACACTCCCAAATACCCAAATCTTCTGAAGCTATAATCTACATACATCGAAGAATCTCTATCCTCCCCTGTTGTCAGTTATCTACTGAGTCTATGGCCCTCTTATCCCCACCAGTCTACACAATCTGGTCCCTAACTCTGACTCCTCACCACCGCTGTAATCCATCTGTCATCCTAAGAGTAATATGGCAGGTGACTCAAGCCTTTGGCCTTGGAGCCTTGACCATTGCTTACTGGGCAAAAAGGATTCTTATTAACAAACCTCAGCTTATCTTCTAAATATTATTTCTGTATCTGACACATCTTCACCTTAAACATCTCATCAAATCTCTACCATAAGCATGTAATTTTAAATATAAAGTGAAATTTCTTTAACTGTTTGAATATATGTGTTTTTTCTTCTTAGTTAGCCCATTCATACATTTTGATAAATTTAAGTGAAAACAAGTCAGTATGTTATTAATTTAAGGACAAATTTCAGTCATTTTTGCCTCTGTTTTAGTTCAGAATAGATGGAAGTTTCTCAGAGTCATTTTATGCAAATAAGATGCACCATATAGATAGTGTTTTATCCTACAAAAGTTATTAGCTACTATTTTTTTTCATTGGCAACCATGTTTACCAAAACCTTCACCTTGGTGCAGATCAAAAAACAAACAGCAGTTATTGTAACAAAGAGAAAATTTTTATATTCCTGTGGGGGCATAAATGGAGAAGAAAGGATTAGGAGGAGTGTGTGGGATGGCACGATATATAAAATCAAAGGCTAACAATTCCAATACAGTACCAATTGTTTTTCTGTGAGATTATGGATAACTTAATGAGAATATTCCTCATTTGTGAAACAGGAATATAGTTGAGATATCATTCAGGTAATGATAATCATATGGATTCTAAACATTCACCTTAACAATGCACTCAGTTTCTTGATAATCCTATCACAAATGCTCCTCTGATAGTACTTCTCTCATCCTTTGGAGAGGCTCTTGTCTTATCTCAGTTCACATCCATCCATAATTTTCTTACAACCACGAATCTTGGAAGAGTTTCTTCTTTCAAGAAATCCAACAATATAGCAAATATGTAAGTGATTCTTTTTCCCTTGGTGACTTTTTCTAGATGGTACTTTCCAGAAGTAACTTACCAGGGTACATGTCTAGAGTCTGAGTTTCCACCTTGTAGTTCAGTAGGCAAAAATGGTACTTTCAGATTCAAATACATTTGTCAAGGATATAGATGAAAGAACAGAGCATTAATTCTTTATTGAATTAAACTTAAGATACTGCTGTATTTTAAAGTATTGAGCTGTACATACAAAGTAAAATTCTAGAGGTTCTTAAGAAATGTCCTGAATATATTTTACTTGAAAAAAGTAGATAAAATTTATTAAACGTTTAAAGCCAAATCATTAAAACAAAATAATTATATTGCATTCAGGATGTGTTAGTTAAAGCTATCTCCTACAATATACCTGTGATGTTTGTAAGATGAGAGGCTGGCTTCAGACATTTTCATCTCTGTGTATTTTCCAAAGCTTCTGCATCTTGCTATAATAGCTCTGGCCATACAAGCACATAATTAGGTACTTGGCATGTTTGAGAAGAAATGAATACTTAATTTTCTCATTGAAAATGGCTAGATTGATTAGAAATTAAATTCTTTCTAGACTATTCTCTGTTTTCCCTTGTGTTTTTAAGGTATTTCCAGAAGTTATATATCTTATTTATGGATGCTCAAAGAGTCCTATTTTCCAACCTGAACAGAAGCTCACTTTTGATTTATGAATAAAATTATCCTGGAGTTACTACAACCTTAATAATATCAATTGTAAGAGAAAATATTTATGTACATAAGGAACTCTATCCTTAAGATTCAAGAAATAATAAAGTGCAATTAATGGATTTCAGTGATTATTAAATTAACTATAAAAGGTTTTGATGCTTAAAGTTAGTACATTTAAGAGCCTTTAACTTTCATAATTTCTTGCACATAGAATAATACTTCTCAGATTATGGTATAATATCATCAGATGGATAAACTATAAAGATGTCAAATACTAAACTGGGGAAGTTTGGGCACTTTCTGTAAGAAGACTTAAGTTATTTAGTTTTGACATGTACTTTATCACCTGAACCTTCTAGATCTACGGAAGACATTTGAGCAGGAACCCTTGGGAAAGGAAGTGTCCCTGGAACAGGAAGTCTTACTCCAGTGTCGGCCACCTGAAGGGATCCCAGTAGCTGAGGTAACAAAAATGCATTGCATTTAGCAGTTGGCACTTAGTTCTTCTAACAGAGGCCTAATCCATGGCTAATGGTGCAGTGAATTAGGGCATGGCATGATGAATGGTTGGTAATGGAGTCCTAACTGCCTGCTGCTGGCAAAACAGATTGATTAGGAACTGATTAATGACTTGGGAGTCAATTAGAATGCCCCACTGGACAAAGCCACTGGCAGCATGGTTTAATTTTATCATTCTCTTTCAAAACAATCAGAAACAGTGTTTTACTTTATCTGGCACCTAACGAAAGAGATGTTATAACTAAATGTGCCATCAGCTGTATTACTATTCCAGATGATGTAAAAACAAAAAAGTTAGTATAAGAAAGATGTGTCTGTCTTGTGAGCCTTTACTGCACATACGTGTTTCAAAGTCTATTATGTCATCATAGAGATCAAAAAAGATTATCTACTGTCACAAACATGATCACTTTCATCCAGCAGTATTTCTATCATTTTATGCATTGTTTTGGTTCTGCTTAAATGAAGTCTTTGGATGGCTAATGAAGTATTATGGATCTTATTTTTGCAATGACTTTTCATTAGCACCAATGTGTTGCTCTTTGAAAGGGGCTGTATTTGAGAAATTGCCTTGCATGACCCGGAGGAGAATGCATGCTCTCCTGGGGACGCTCACCATAATATTGCAACATCCTGTTGAAGGAAACTAGTACTATGTCTTTTATTTGTTAACAAATAGCTCCAATCTCTAAAACAATGTTCCTTTTACAAGTTAACAGAAGACTACCTTATAGTGTCCAACATGATTATCTACAGGGCTCTACAAATTCAAACACACTTTCATTTGACAAGTAACATGGCTGTTTATTTGTTAAGGGTCCTTGCTAGCCTCCAAGCTTCATGAAGTAGTCATTTAAAATATTTACTCTGTGTTGCATATATGGAAAGAGACATATGCCAGTTGTCATTCAGAAGTAAATATGGATCTAGTGGACATGGATCAGCTCATTTTTCATATAATAAACTCTTGAAAATCTAGCTCTCCAAGAAATCAAAATAATAATAATATTGAAACTTTTTGGTGAATAATTATAAATAGTTCATTTACTGTTGGATTTCTCATAGCTTTTCAGTCTCAAATATTGGTATGAAGTAGAAATCAGCTGAGGTAGTCAGACCCACAACAGCAAAACTGAGCATCTGGTTCTTCTGAGTTAATACTGGCAACAAATTATTTGAAAATATACACAAAATAACTCCATTTTCTACTATAACATTTATATCTCTGTTCCTCAATTGCAAAACCACGTATTTCCTTTTTTACTCTGAACAAAATGATAACTATTTTCCCTTGTCATTGGCATCTCAGGACTCTTCTGTACCATATCAGAAATTACATGATTATCGCTCACTATCACACAATACCATATCAACATCTTGCATCCCCCAAACACAGGCTATGATTTAGTATGGCTGAAATGATGGACACTCTTTTCTGTCCAACATTTCATTTTAGTTGTGCAGTGGAGCATCTGTCTCCTTACTTGTAGTTCTAAGGCAAACTTCTTCCAAAACCCACTGTAAAGTTCTAAACATCCTAAGAGCAGCATGGACATCTGTAATCTGGCTTCTACTCTAACCACCCAGTGAGCAGCATGGGCATGCATAGCCTTGCTTCTACTCAAGGCAACTTAAAATGTCCTCAGGAGCTGGCTCTTGAAAAGTCTTACAGAAAAATCCTGCTACTCTTTTTTTTTCCAGCTCAACAAAGTAGTTCACTTTGTCAAGGAGTAAAGATTCATGACTTCAAACTAATTGGCTATGAATTTTATGTGTATCATCAGTGGGGAAGAGCCTAATTAACATTTGGCAGGCTCAAAAATCATATACCCATTTGACATTCAAGGAACTATATTTAATACATATTACTTTTTCTTTCTATTTTTTCCATTAAGAAGAGAGATCAAACATACATGCTTAAAAGGAGGCTAATAAACTCCTGTGTAGATTCTTTTTACACCATTAAAATCACCAAGATCAGAAAGCCCATGGATGCCTTAACATGACACTTTCCAGCTGCTATTTGCTCAAGAGCAACAGAAAAATGTAAAAAGAAAGGGATGAAAGATAGCTTGGGAGATAAAAGATTATTTGATCATTTTAGTTTCAATAAAAATGCATTTGGTATTTTATTTTCATTTATTTGTTTAAGGATTTTGAAAGTACAGAAGTGACATAAAATAAGATGTTGATCTTAATATGAAACCAGCAGGTAAAATTTATGTGTTTTGTGATCATTAAATCAGCTATGAGGAGGTCAGCCTAGATAGATGTGTTCTTTGCTGCTGTCCAAAGCAACTGCTTCCGAGAGAAAATCAGACAGTGAATGGTCAGTGAACGCAGGGCTGGTCAAGTCAGTTGATCTTTGTTTTGCATGCATGTGGCTGGCTCCATGAAGGAAGATACGTTCTTTGCAGATTATTAGGAAGTAGCAATTTCCTTTTAGCTATCTAAACCAGCCATCTTTTAAAAAAGAATCTGTGTTATGATTACACTGCATTTGTGCATATAATGTCATAGGCATTGTTCACATGATGACAGTGGGTTTCTCCCATTTGGGTGTCCTATAGTCTCCTCTAAGGAGCAGCAACTGATTTCCTTATAAACTCCAGGTTTAAATCCAAGCATGATCATGTTTTACCCTCTGACTTTAGGCAAGATATTTAAATCCTTTGTACCCAGCTTTTTCAGTCATATAAGGAAGATGATATTATTTATGCACTCTGTGTTTGTGGTATTTAATAACTTAGTGCATAAAAACTACTTAAACCTACCTAAAGCCATAAAAGACTATCAACCATTATTTATATTATTATATTATGTTATTAGTTCCCAGAAGACTGAACTCAATATCATAGTCACTGGACTTTGCTCACCCTAAGCATTCTGGGATACATGGAGGAGGAACTTCTGGTGAAGAGTCACCAAGGTGCTTCCTATATTCTGTGGCCATTGGTTTGCTTGGAGACCATTAGTGCTACAAATAAATGTAACATTTTAAATTTAAAACAAAACTTTGCCTTCTGATAATGTTAATCAAATCACCTTCTATATTACTCTGTTATTATCGGACCAAATGCCTGACAAGCAGCAACTTTAGGGGAAGAGGTTTGTTTTAAGTTCATAGTTTGAGGGGATACAGTAAAAAACAATGGGGAAGGCGTTTCAACAGAAGCAGGAGACATTTGCTCATATTGCAGCTACAGTCAGATAAAAGGGACAGGAAGTAGGGTGGGTATTTCAAATCCCAATGCCCATCCACCCCAGTATAACAAACCCCAATGCCCACCCCCTGCCCCTCAGTGATCCACTTCCTCCATTAAGCATCCACCTCCAAAAAGTACAACATTCCAAAATAGAACTGTTAGCTGGGGATCATGCTCTCGAACACATGAGCCCATGGGGAACATTTCACTTCAAAGTATAGTATTGGCAAATGTCGTGAAGTCCTGCTCTCCTCACTCCACTGCAGTCATTAGTTCCTGTCATCCCTCTGCTCCTCCTGCTTCCAAGAGTCCAACAGCCCATGGATTTTATCCCAAGGAAGAAATTGAAGCAGAGGTTACTGTTCCTAGATCTCTTTTTTTTTTCAGAGCCCAAGGGGCAAAAATAGTAAGTCTCAAGTAAAGAAAGGACCAGCCAACACTTATTTATAGTTAATCCCCTCAGGGGGACAGTGACTTTGAATACCTTTTAGGACTAGTAGGTTCAGTAAAATGTTTCAATCCCAGGAACAAAAGACTAGGGTTTCAGAACTCTAGACCTTAATATTTCTTCCTCTAATCTCCTTTCTACATTCTTTCTTTCAATATTCTTCTGTTTGAGTAGAGATGGTTTGAAAATATTTAATGACTACACAGCTTCCTAAGCAAAGGCACAGAGTCCTGAGAACCTTGTGTTGTATTGAACATAATGTCATCAGTGGCTCATTCATAGTCAAGGGATGCCAAGGAGCCAGTCAGAATAAAGGGATGAGGGACACTCAGTTATTTGGTAACATATTCAGAGCTGATTTCGCAATTAACACCTGGTGTTAGTAAATGTGTGGCTGGATAAACGGCAGCTCCTATATTCTGTGATTTTATAACTATGTGGAAATTCATCTGTTTACTCTTCTGTCTGACTATACTGTGAGGAGATAAAGAACACAAATTTGGGTTCTTATTCCATCTCTAATGACAGCAAATTACAGGTCACAATAGATTCTCAAGATAAATTAAATCTAATTTTAAAAAAGGGCATGTTAGATACAATGAAGAGGCTACCCTTTAGGAAGAAGAAATTACTAGAAGAATGATGCCTTTCTCCTATTAAGATATAATCCCATTTATAGAGGCTGGAGTGATGGCTCAAAGGATAAGAACACTCTGGCTGTTCTTCCAGAGGTCATGAGTTCAATTCCCAGCAACCACGTTGTGACTCACAACCATCCATAGGGAGATCTGGTGCCCTCTTCTGGCCTGCAGGGATACATGCAGACAGAACACTATGTACATAATAAATAAATAAATTTTTAAAAATAAGATATAATCCCATTTAGAAAACCCCTTGTGAAATGATGGGATCCTTTAGTCTAAATGCTCAGAGCAGGTCTAGGAATAAAAGGATATTTGGGAGAATCTTCAGCCCAAAGATCGCAGGAGATACTCATAATAGTCTCACTAAAATAACAAATTAGACAATTGGAAAGAAAGAAAAACTAATCCCAGGAATACTGTTGGGTAATATTGCATGATATTTCATAGCCCATTTTCTAGGATCAATCCAGAAATGACTCTTTCCCTTTCTGATGGCATTTGACTCCATTTCAATAATAAGTCTTTCTCCTTTCTCCCTAAAGCAGCAAGAAAAATAATATGCTATAGAGTGGGTGCTGGGCTGTTCCCAAGGCATATTAGCAACTCTCTTTGAAATTAATCCCTCTCTGCTCATTTAAATCCATGC